GCAAGAGAACAACTTTAAAGCACCGTCATTAAAACAAATTTGGGCATTTTCAGTGAATTTTTCTTGACTTATTGTAACTTTGCGTTGCTGTTGACAGGATGCCTACTGTGAAAATTTTCTACTAAATACTTTTGCTGTTCTAAGATAGTCCACATTGAACACTTTCTTCCTATTGTACCTCAACATTTTCATTACTGTTCCAACGTAGTCTACAACAGTTAACTTTTTCCAAATTTTTATACCTTAATACTTCATCGTAAATGGTTCATGATGGTCGACAGCGAACATTCGATGTTTGTTTTATTCTAATGACGACTCCGCGATGCTTTTTCAATAAAGATATACGTACAACTCCTGTGGCTTGCTACCAGCTTTGAACATTGCTTTTATTAATCTTGCCAACTTTACGATTGTTGGATAAACATCTTTGCCGCTGTTGGAAGAGGACCACCTTTGAACATTGTTTTTATTAATCTTGCAATCTTTACGATTGTTCGATAAACATCTTTGCTGTTGTTGGAAGAAGACCACCTTTGAACATTGCTTTTATTAGTCTTACCATCTTTATGGTTGTTACAAAAGGCATCCTTGCTGCTTTTCGAAAAAGACAATTTGATGGGGCAACAAAGATGGGGAACTGTCTTTTGGCTATTCACTGCAAAAATAACATGCTTCATTTTTCACTCACTCCTGCGGCAACAATCCTGTGATTACAGAAAGGTGCGGAAACTGCGTTGATTTTACATCAGACACCACAAGGTAAGTAAAATTTTTATTCTATCCGAACAGAATTAAAAAAATGGCGATATTAGAATTTTTTTTAGATGAGATTCTAACTAAAATCTTGTTATATTCTACATTAAAAATGCCGGAATTTGCTTTTCCGAGAGTCTAGATTTCAAAATTTTATGGGGTAGCATGCCCCCAGACCCCCCTAGCGTTGGCTCGCGCCGAAGGCGCTCGCTACGGCACAGGGCCACGGTCAGCCCAGAAGCTGGATCTCGGAACTCCAAATAACCTTCATTTCCTCGTCCCATGCCTAGTCTGTACGATCACTATATTTATGTAAAGCCTAACGGCATTGCAAAATATCTAACAGAGTTAAAGCGCATTACGTGAAAGCGAAGATTATCACAACATGGAGGCAGTAGGCTAAGATTGACCACTGCCTTCTTTTTAAATTTGTCCTAGAAGATAGCTCTGAGCACAGTACTTACTTCTTCTTTCTTTTAGAAGCCATAAAGAAAACATAAAAATCTTTCTACTATTTTAAAGAGGTCGTGTGTGACCTCTAGCTTTTTCCCAAGACGGACGAATGCTTCCACAAATTCCAACACCTTCAGCATTGCTTTCACAAATAAAAATTTCCCTTTTCGAAAAAACGATGATACATGGTCATTTCCCGAAAATGCGTGACGGCCGATCAATGCCAACTTTTCCTCTGCAGACAGTTCTGAAGAAGATAGGTTTATGATTTCCCTGTTTTTTCCTGTTCCGTTATCTATGTATATGGTTGTGTCTCCAAAATTGTGAGAAAAAAATGTCAAAATGTCAATATGTTGCAAGATAGTGACCGAACCATGATTGAGTCTCCTTAACGCCCATTGGCAGCGAAAACAAGAACAACCAATTTTGTATCAGCTTTTTCATGATTGCACCTTAAAGAGGGAAAGAGAATCCCTTGCTCTTCGTTGGTCATCACACAATCTCGTTTGTTTGAAAAAATTATAGTTCATCCCATAATCGCTTGCTATATGAGATTGAACAACACTTCTTTGTTTTCCCTGTTACGAAGGAAATCTATGAAATGATAAGGCACTTTCATACCTGGGCTTGTTAAGAGATACCAGTTGCTTTCACCTCGAGCTTTACGCTCAGCTGCTAAATTCTATTTTGTTCAAACGTATCACAAACTAGAAACACTTTTGTGTACTGAGAAGGAATCGTGTACAAAATTCTCGCTGCCAACCATCATGTTGTATTAGACTTTCCAACATTGCTTTTAACTGCAGCTGCGACGTCGAGGAGATACGTATACAATGTGTCTTGACCAGGTAGACATTCATTTGAGACAGCAAGCAAATCGCTCATTGCAGCATCAAATAGTTTACTTTTCACTGTCTTGCAGATAGCACCATCATTTGTGCTTAGAGGAGCTGAAACTGGAGAAAGTGGGTAATGCAATACAACATCGATATCGATACCTGATTTATACTGAGACTGTGCAACTAGAATTACAAGAATGTCTTTCTGGAACGACAACACTTTTGCTTTGCCATCTTTTTTCGCAACGACCTTTTGCGATATATCTTTTCACGACCTGAACTTGTTTCGTTTGAGTGAGCTGAAGAACATTTCTGCTGGAACACCCTCGTTTATTCCATAAACAGAAATGAAAGTTTCCATCGAAACGCATTTTTCTTGCACTAACAACAGCTTTTCATTTACGTGACAGTTTGATGGAAAATAACCAGTAACGTCAGTTTCATAATGAAGAATAACTTTTTGTTATTGCTTCCGGTGCAATCCGTGTATAGTTGACAGAGCAAGTTTGATGCTTACTAAATTCCTTTGCAATCATGTCAATACATGTAATTGCAGTAATCATGGTCTGATCCTTTCTTAAAGGAGCGGCATTTTTCAGTATTTGTTCAGCCGATTTTGTAACAGTCTTCGTTTGAAATTGAAATTTTCTTCGAACTTTTATTCGTTCTTTTGAACAAATCATGCATATTTTAGGAAACATCCCTGCAGTACTGAGCGTTCAAAACCTGTCAAATAACTTCTCGCAGGTCGTTTGTTTCTTTCGTGGTTTCATTTTCGTTTTCAAATTTTCTTTTTTGCAGTGTTCGGGCATTAGTCAGTTCTTGATAACATTCTCTGTGATAGTACAAAGGTTCTTCGTTTAAACGTTTTGGATACCTTAGCACTGATCTTCGTGACGATTTTCTTATACAAGTGACGGGCCTATTTTCTTGCATTCAGTTAAACTTTTAAATGACATTGCACTCAGCTTGATCAGTTTATCAGAAGCAGACAAAAAATCGTAATGAATAATATATGAACAAGAAATCATGCTGATCGTCAGCTTGTTTTTCTGTTTACTTTACAACATATGTAAGTTGTTTTTGTATGATTTTTCAAGGTAATTCAATCTCGTGAAATTTTTAACGCTTAAAGCTTCAAAAACTCAAAAACAATCTTAAAATGCTAAAATCAGCACGTTAAAATATGTTTACCCGATGTTTACACCAAAGCAACTGTGGTTGCCATGTGTTGTTAGGGAGGATTGGTAATTTGCATACTTCATTGCATAATTTTGAATGTTTTCGTAGAACATGCATTTCTGAAATCAGAACCCTCAAATTGAATAAAAAAAGTTCATCTCATAAATTTCCCTGTCGGGTTACCTTCACATTGAGTTCTATAATAACTGGAGCGGCTAAGTGCACTAAGACCTGACACCAAAAAAATGGGGGCCGAATGACCTATTTCCGCTGAAATGATCGCTGTGCAGAAAAATTATATTCTCGACCTCCCCCTGATTTCTAAAGTAAAGGTCAAGTACCAAATAAAGATGACAAGGTTTTGTGTCTTGATGCTTGATGAAATGTCATGTAAAAAGGTCATATAGTTTGTGCTTATGTCAAAATTGATATTGAGATTGATGATGACTTGCTGCAACTGTACAATCCAGTGTGTTTTTTACAACTAAATTGTAAAATCATGTCACATCTCTTTATTAAATTATTTTAGTAGAAAGCTGTTTAAATGTTACTTATATGTAATATATGCCATATTGAAGCATTAAAGATTCAATGATGAAAACTTCAGTGCTATATATTTCTTCTTAATTTCAGTTTTTGCTGAAAAAATATTTTGAGCTCATTTATCAAATAAAGTAGATAATAGACATTTGTCATTTGATTCATTCCCCCTTCATTAAACCAGGGAAATGTTTGTTTTTTCCAAGTTTTTCTTCAATTTTTTGTTTCTTAATTCATTTCATAATATGAATAAAATACAGGTAGTACAGTTTAATAACTCTATAATTTCTGAAAAGCTGTTATGCTTCCAGCATTAAAGAACACAAAATGCGTTTAATTCATTTGGTTTTATTACCTTATTTTTACATGTATACATTCACTTCATCATTCTTGTATAAACAACACCAGATGTTGCATACTTAGAGGAAAAAATCCCATAGCAACTGGTATTAAATATGGGTATAAAATTTATTATTGAGGTGAAAGCATTAATAGTCAATCAAATTTTGAATTCACATGGCTAATAGGAAGCACATAAAAAAAGAGAAAAAGAAGAGAAGTATTAAATAAACAATTGAGTATTCATGTATTCAAGTATTATTAACACAATAGTAATTTAAGTGTTTTCATTATTTGCATTTTTGTCATTTCACAATCATGACAACGATATCAAATATGCGACAACTTGACAAGTAATTGATGCAGTTCTTGTGCAGAAGAACACAAAAATCTCAAAGGTTCTCATGATTTGTACCCAATATTTTTTTTCATTATTAAATTTACGAAACGCGAGGTGCGTGAGCAAAAACAAATCCTACAATTGTTGCGAAAAAGGCCATCACATGAAAGAAAGTAAAAAACTAATGAGAATAAATGAGCTAACATGTCACTAGTGATACGTTGAGATAAAATATGATATATTTTGTTTCGTGCAGACTAGAAACTTTCATCGAGCAAGTCATTAAACGACAGTTACGACGCGCACATCTGCATTCCTATGTGGCCAACAATTAGCTCGTTCGTTAAAAAAGGCATCCGTCGTAGAAGCCGACAACTGGCTACCACAGAAGACTCGCTTTTAGGAAATTTATGTTTTTACAGTGATTTTCATCATAAAATTGCTTGCCAATCATACCAAAAACACATATACTTTTTCCTCACTCTTTCTCAAGGGGGGAGAGAGAAATTGTGAGATTTTCAGAAAAGCAGTCAATTTCGGAAAATCTAAGCGGTAATGGAAGAAATCCTCCATTTTTTTGGCGTCAGCCGCTAATTAAAGCCGCGCTTGAGATAGCCGCTCCAGTTATTATAGAACTCAATGGGGAAAACCATTGAGTTCTATAATAACTGGAGCGGCTATCTCAAGCGCGGCCTTAGATATCTGATGACGCAAAAAAAAAGGCGGATTTCGTCCGTTGCCGCTGAGATTTACCGAAATTGACCGCTTTACGAAAATTTCACAATTTTCCACTCCCTCCTGAGGAAAGAGTGAGGAAAATGTATGTGTGTTTTACGATTCGGCAAGCAATTTTTTGATGAAAATCACGATAAAAACCTACAATTCGTAACAGCGAGTCAACTGTTCTTTCAAGTTATCGGCTCCTACGAGGATGCATTTATAACTATCGACGAAAGAGCTATATGTCGGCTACACATTTATGAATGCAGATATGCATCGTTTTCTTACCAGCGTCAAACTTGTTTGATCGATTAAACTCTTTAGTCTATACAAAAAAGTATATCATAGTTCATCTCCACGGTGGTTCACGGGAGAGAATTTAGCTTATTTGTTATCATTACTATTTTGCTTCTTTTCGTGCAATAGGCAATGGCTTTCTTCGCCACAATTGTAGGATTTTTACTTGTTTCTTTGAAAAAGTAAATATTAAATCTCTGGATATTTACGGATTTTCTGTAATTCAGTTTCCTGTTAAATTTCAAAAAAACTCAAGTCTGCATAGGTTTGGTAAATGAAAACAAACAATATTGTATAGAAATTACTTTAAGTAACCTTTTTGTGATGTTCTGAAGTGCAACTGCATCAAATACTTGTAAAATTGTAGCACATTTTGATTTTGTTGTATTGATATATGAATTGGGCAAAAAGCAAATAATCATCAAAACACTTATGCTTCCAATGGTGTTTATAATTAATTTTTTGTTTTAATACTTCTACCTTGTTATCACTTTGTTTTGTTTTTCCTATATTTGCAATGTAAGTGCACTATAATTTGAATGATTAACACAGTTTTCACCTCAATAATAAATTTCATAAGCAGTTGGTAGTGCATTTTGTTCTCTGAGTATCCACATCTGGTGTTTTGTTCATACAAGAATGATGAATTGCAAGTAGATATGTCATAGCAAGGCAAAATAATCAAATGAATTAAATACCTTTAGTGTACTTTTGTGCTAGAAGCTTAAAAGCTTTTTAGAAATTATAAAGTTATTGGATTATATTACCTCTATATCATCAATCTCATGAAAAGAAATAAGAAGCAAAAAATTGTAGAAAAGCTTTGAAAAGTGAAAAAACTTTTCTTTAAAAAAAGGAGCAATAATGCATATGATAAATCTCCATTCTGTACTCTAATAGGTAAATAAGGTCAAACTGTTTCTTGAAGCAAAAACTGTAATAATGAAGAAATATACAGTACATTAACTTTAAAGGTTTCATCACTGAATCTTTAATGCTTCAGTATAGTGCATTAGATATTAGTAACATTTAAACAACACTCAACTAAAATATTTTGATAAAGATATGACATGATTTAAACATTAAGTTATATAAAACCCAATGGCTTATACAGTTTGAAGCTTCACATCTGCATCGACTCATCGTCATCTCAGTACAAATGTTTACATAGACGCAAACTTTATGGCTTTCCCATTTTATATGTTTGTGAATTGACATTTCATTAAGCATCAAAACACACACAACCTTCTTGCCATCTTTCTTTTGTTCATGAACTTTAACTTCAAAGCATGGAAGGCATCATTAGTGAATCCATTGTCTCCATCCATAGAATTTGACCATTATCAAATTAAATAACTCTGGATAAGGCAGACAATAAATCAATTATCTTTACAGCATTATCATTTTTTTAAGACTCTGCCTGGTCAATAACATTTTCCAGTCATCTTTACTCCTTGTTCTTCCCTGCATGTTGTCAGCAAATAGAACATAACAAGCTCTGCTCCAAATCATGGGTACTGTTGGGGCTGATCATTTCTTCTTGATACTTACTCACAGAGCAAAATGTGTGCAGGGTCTTTTTGCTTTAGGGAAACTATTTTGCAAATAGATGGGTAAAATTACGATTTCATGCATTAACAAATGGCAGAAAAGTATGCAGAATTTTATAGACAAAAACAGGAAAACATCAGTATAATTGGCGTTCAAGTCAGTCTTAAAAAATACTATCTTTAATATGTATTTTATGGCTTTTCAAGAGCATGTATAATTGCTTTTCAATCGTTGACGGACTAACAAAACAAGCAACTACCTCACCTGTGAGAAGCGATATGTTCCTTTTTGTGGAAACTACGACATCCAACAATTGAACGATTGAAGTGTTGACATTATAAAAGAAATGGCAAAAAAGATATCGTCACAGAATATGGAACTAACGATATCCGTATTCTGTGATATCGTGTTTGTTTTTGAAAAATTCTTTATAATTCACTATAGACACCAGGGGGAGGTCGAGAATATTATTTTTCTGCAAAGCGATCATTTCAGCGGAAATACGTCCGTTGGCCGCCATTTTTTTGGCGTCCTCCTCCCAGTAAAGTTAGCCGCTCCAGTTATTATAGAACTCAATGGGTTCTCCCCATTAAGCTCCATAAAACCTGGAGGGGCAAAGGGGCCTGGACCCCGTGGTCAAAAACATGGCGGTAATGGCGGATTTTGGTGGTCAAAACTTCCACTTTAAAAATTTTTTTCAATATTCACTCCCTCCTGATTTCTAATACTGTTTGTATGAACGAAAACAAGTGAGAAAAAAAACAATTACGATACCGACAGCATATCATGTGAAAATAATGCTTCAGCATTGCGTGAAAAACAGTACAGACACACATCAAAATAAAGAAGATCGACAGTAGAGAAACGCATATTTTGGATGTAACATTTAAGTTATTTTATGACATTTTAGCCTTTTAAAAGTGAAAATCAAACGGCATTCTTTACTAGACCTGTCAATCTCGTCAAACTTATACATTATTTCATGCTTTTGTGTGTTTGACTGTTTGTAAACAGTTTGGTGCACCTATTTTTCTTGCTTCAAATGGATAAATCTGTGTAAAAATGCTCCTAAGGAAGGAGGAAAATGTTTGCTTCAGTCCTACGACATAAGTCAACCGAAAGTTTACCATGGATACCTGATAAATCTACTGAAAACTCATAAAGTATGTTGAACTAGAAGAGCTACAAAAAAGAAAAAAATTCAAAACACCATGACACTGTTGCTTGGTAATTTGTATTTTGTAAACAGCTTGGCAGAATCTTGGATCTATTACTGAACAGAACTACATTAATTTTCCATTGAAATTACAAACTTGGAAACTAAAGTGCATTGGTTTCTCTGACAAAAACACTCTGTCTATCGCTGCATGAAGGCAAAATAGTTATTTGACAGTGTAGGTGAAGAAATTTATCAAGTTCTGTAGATATTATTGTGCATTATTTACAGTTTTTTGGAATTGTGTAATATATGTCATGAACAAGATATAATTTTTCAAAAATGCTAACCCCTTCAAGCACTACTACTCTTCTGTTTTGCTTAAACAACTTACAGCTACCAATACTAATTATTTATATGTACAAACTAACATTTGGGAATTAAATGACAAACAACTAGTTAAATCTTTGCATTTTACATCAAGGCTTTGAATTAGTTCCTTTTACCTCTTGGTAAAAAAATATTAATGAAAGACTTACAAATCAAGTTTCTCGAAAATAGTATTTTGTACAAAGAAACTAAATAATTGGAAAGGTCACATGTTGAAGACAGACTTTGCTTCTTTGACTAGGTTGCTTGACCATGAGCAAATTTAAATTTGTTTACAATTTGTTTAAAGAATTCTTTTTATTGATTTCTACTAATTCTTCATAAGACACAAAGAATTTCTTTGCCATCTACTTTTGCTTCTTCTACATTCAACTTCATTGTAACCAATGCATCCGATGTGAATTTGTGGATCACCTGGAATTATATTAAGTATGGATTTAATGAGATGAGACAATAATATGTTTAATTTTTCATGCATATTAATGATATAATCATAAGCTACTGTTGAACTAAAATTTCAAGGTAGAAACAAATCTTAGCACATTGTTCAACACACTACTTTCATCTTGGTTTTGAAGTATTAACCTGTTTACTATAACAATAAATACTTCATTTACAGAAACGCTAAGTAGTACTTTAAAATTGTTTGCATAAATCCAACTTTCCAATCTCATTATAATTGTCTACACCATACAGTCAGTCAAATTGAGCAAGCAAACAGTTTAATAGTTATTTTTATTATACAACATATACCATAGTTCTCGTTAATTTTGCATGGCACTGCATTCAATTTCAACACAACTCTGTTGTAAACTTTCACTTCATCTTTTCAAAAAAAAAACATGAACAAATTATGCCCCATTTTTGGGAGGTAAACTCAATTCAAATCAGGAGAGTTTAGCTTGATGCCTTGATCATGATACAAGATGGATGCAAAACTCGATAAATATTGACAGCTTCGCCACGTCTGGCGAGCGATTAAGTGAAGAACAAACAAGACTGGACCAAAATAACTTTAAATTAAAACTTAGTAGTAGAAACACTCTTCAAGTATCGTGTTAAAAACAAAATAGTAAGACTAATACTGTGGTACTTACCGGAGTCAAGAAATGTTCCCTTTTCTGTCGCTATTTCAGCATCCGCAAACCACAAAAGTTGGCAGTTTAATAAATAAAATTTTAAAAAAGTGTTTATGTGAGGAAAATAAATAGTTTTGATATTTTCTATACTCGCAATCGTGGTGGTCAAATCAGGGTGGGCGACAAAAATTTTATTTCATGAGCCCGCGTCTCTCCGCTGACTTTGACCACCAAAATCCGCCATGTTTTTGACCACGCGGCCGCGCGCTAATAATTTATACTAATTTTGTTGACGTTTCCCCATTGAGTTCTATAATAACTGGAGTAGTAGTGCTCGAAGGGGTTAGCATTTTTGAAAAAT